ATATTTTGCCTTCGACATTTATTTTTGTCGTTAAAAATGCGTTACTAATTCATACACTTTGGTTGTTGTGAGAGAGAAATATGTCAATTTTTCTCTACGGAATTTTTGACTATAATTGTAATGTTCCTCATTCATTCCTTAATCTCTCTTACTTTATCCATGTTTCTTCCTATAATCTACAGTTTTAGCCGCCCTATCTGCCTCTCTACCTATTGTGGCTTCACGTAAGTGATAAATCCATAAAAACTAACAAAAGCGTGCGTGATCCTGCCTTACATGTAGCTTTATTTGTTTATTTGTTTGTGGGATATCTCGATCCTTTTAGTTCAATATGCATGAGTTTGAAGGTAGCTTGTGTGACTAGAACGTAGCAAAATGACCCTCTTGTAAAAAAAATTGTGTCGTCAATAGTTTCAAAATCTAGTTCTTCAAAATTACAAACATTCCACAGTGATTTTATTCGAGTAAGTTTTTTTCACTGGAAAAGCTCTTATCCATTTTCATCAACAAAGAAAACTGTGCATTCTACGAACAAATATTTTAATAGAGTTTTTTTCTTCGCGGAAGTTCAGAATTTCGTTGCATGTTCGTTATCAATTAGAACTCTTCAAAGAATTTGGAAATTCCTCTCATTTTGCCAAAATTTCTCCCATTTGTTGTACACTAAAAAGTGAGAGAAATATATTACTGAGTTTGTCACTTTGCGGAGTAGTGCCGTTTGGAGATGCGTCTTCTATAACACGAGAACTGGTCCCCTCATATTCATATCCACCAAGGTCCAAAAGACATTACAACTCGTTGTTATGATCAGTGTTCACCAGAATTCGATCTCATAGTGGTTTGTATAAATTACAAAGATCAAATTTATACAAAATGATGTCCAAACTTTTTTACCCGCCATCATTGAAATTTTGAGTTTATGTACAGGAACCTCTGCTTAGTTTATATTACTTCCTCGCTAACAACTTTTACCCTCGAAATAAAACCACAAATTTACCCAAACCTTGCTTATGTTGCCCTACCCGTCTGTTCTTCGCTTTCGCTTAGCTGAGTGTGGTTGTGTTGTGTTTTCAGACGTCGTTACACATCGAAAACAGCTGGATGACACCATCGACATCGACGGCTTGACGCTGGATCGTCTGATTGATAATATAGAGAACTATCCCGGAGATGGAGTGCAACGTCCTGTCTCTCCCTATAGTTTCTCCTTCAGTCGATTGCGTAAAGGTAGATTGTGACGTCTTTTATGTGCTTTTTTGTGCAATGCAGCCCATTTTCCGCGAAAAAAATACACGACTTTTTTGAATAAGTTACACTTGTGACTAAAAGTAAAATTTTCGGTAGTACATCGTTTGTCTGTATGAGGTTACGGTAGATGTATAGTAAGAGATTTATTTGCTCGGAACTGTTGAGAGATTGCAGCATTTAAGACATTTGCTTTTTTATCGTATACCTACCGTACTCCGACGGATTACTGTGGCGGAAAAGTATGACAAGATATATATAT